ATTTTTTTATATGAATAATATTAATACTCATCACATTAATACTTATTAATATAAATAAAGGACAAATAATCTGTTCAAAAAAATATTAAATTTATTATTTTAAAAAATTAAATTACTTAAATTACTATATTAAAATTTTTTTTGAACAATATACAATTTGAAAAAGAGGGACATTTTCAAAGTGTTGATAGAGTTTAAAATCTTGATCAATAAACTTAAATACTTTAAAATTTGGGGGCAAATCACTTAAATTTGAGAGCCAGATTCATATTAAAAAAATTTTATTTCAATAAAAATTTAGACATTTAATTAAAACTATATCCAAGTTCAAAAATGGTTTAAAGCCAACTGTCGTCCCTCTACTTTAATATTTTATTCGTTCTTGTCCCTCTACTAAGGTCATGTTCGTTGTCGTCCCTCTACTCTCCAAAGAGCCAAAACGTCGTCCCTCTACTTGGCTATTTTTGTTCATTGTCGTCCCTCCCCTAACACCGTCCATGTTGCCGTCACTGCTGACCGTTAAGTCCCAAACAGTCAGCAGTTAAACCCATCTCTTTTTTTTTTTTCCACGTATGTTGCCCACCTGTCGACCCATTTTCTTCTTTTAAAATTGGCAACCGTGTTCTTTGTTATCTCTCCTCTCTCCCTCGATATTTTTCCCCAATTTTCCCCCATTTGCAGAAACCCTAACGCCACCAAGCCCCAAATTCTCTGTCAACATTCCCCCCTGTTTCCTCCATTTGCTTGCACCAGGAACCCTAGTTACTCGAAATTATTCTTTCTTTTCAATCATTTGAGCTTTCGATATAGTCAAAATAGGGCCTTTCTCCCTCCTTGGTTCTTCTTCTTTTTCCTTTCCCTTAAACCCCTCTGGTTCAATTAATCTTCTCTAATTCCTGTTTCGAATTTCTGGTCCTATCATCTTCCTTGCTTTTATTCACCCAATCACCGAACCCAGCATGTATTCAAGCAATTCCCATCAACCATCCTCTCAATTTGGTTCTCCATCTTCATCTCCTCATTATGGCGAGTTTGTGGGTCTCTACAAATGTGGTCTTCGACCAGTTAAAAGAAATGCTATGACTCGATTCAACTATGGACGCAGGTTTTGGGGATGTCCAAAATTTTCGGTAAAGCTTGTTTTTGTGTTTTAGATTGTGCAAATGTGGGCCTTTGAGCAATTTGTTTATGTATTAATATTAATCCTTCTCTACACTGCTTTGCTCAGATATCTTCTCTTTGCTTTGGTTATATATGTTGCTCTTCGATCAGTTTGCTGTGCTGTGCTCTACTTAGATGAGGAATCTGGTTTTTTATTTTTGTTTGTTTTCGGTTAAGATTGTTTTTGGTTAGGTTTTTTTAATTGTTTTATTATTGCTTTTATTGTTTTTTTTATTGTTGTAGAAGGATGGTGAGGAAGCCGGCCATACCTGTGGACTGTTGTGTAATGATCCATGTGAATTGAAATCTGGTTGCAATTTTTTCATTTGGTTTGATGATGACTTTGATTCTCGACCTAAGTTTTGGATAACATATTGCTGGGATAAAGAGCAAGCACTGTTGAATGAGATTTCACAGTTGAAAAAGGAGAACCTAGACCTGCATAGAGAGATTGATGGTTTGAAGAATTTGAACTGTGAAATGGAAAACAAAGTCAGTAGGATTGAGACAGTTGCTTCAAGTTATTTGAAGCTGAAAAAGTGTTTAATTTGTTGTATCTTCATAATTGCTTTTTTGGCCATTAAATTTGCAGGGTAATTGGTCATAGTCTGCTTTTGTAATAGGTGATGAGCGAGTATAATATGATGTGGTGCGGACTGCTTTTGTAATTATAGGACTACTTGTAAATATGACTCCTGTTGTAATTGATTAGCTTATGAATGAAATATGACTTTTCTGGAAATGGTTTCCTTGCAAAATATGTTTGTGTTTTGAGCATACATAGGGGCATAACTTAACAAAAAAAACAGGACTACTCATGACATACTACTAGTACAGGGCAATACTTAAAAAAAAAAAAGAAGATTGCTCATGACAATATTTACTG